CCCGGAAGGTACTTTCGATGGCCTTAGCCGATTGCAAGAGCGAGCAGATGCCGACAAGAAGAATGCTGATGAACCTGGGAAAATTTCCCAAGAATTGGAGGTGGTTTGAGATCTTGTTTTTTGTATACCATGTCCTGTCAGGTTCAACGCTTTGTTTCATGTTTTCGGTATTTTCCGTGCAGATGAAGACAAAGCTGTCCAAATTTATGGAGTCCATGCTTCAAAAAGCTGGGAAGATCCGTGGTCTAGTCCGAGATCTTAAGCAGCACTACCAAGAAAGTTCATCGATGTCAAAGCGGGGACCTTGCTTTTCAAGACATCAAGGAAATACTTCAGCTCATGTTCGGAATCCCTTCACCAACCATTGACACATGTGTTTTATATAACCCTCTCTCAGGCATGTTGGACAATTGGAGGTGCAACTCGGGAGTATGGACGCTGAGTATGACAAGTGCAACAATGTTTATGCAACCGGTGAGGTCAATGGCTTCGATCACGTGTTTCTTGAATGAGTGGTTTTGGTCCTCATCTGTTACATCAAGAGCAGTTCAAGTGTGTCGTGGTGCCTTGCAAGTCTCGTGGAATGGTTTGAGGTTTCTTACAAAGGCTACTGAAGCTATGAAAACTGCAACCTTTGCGTCTTCCATGCCAGTTTACATGTGCGATGTCATGGGTCCCCTTTCACATCTCTGTCATTCCTGCCAGGTGCAGTTCTGCGGTCGCTGCGGAAAACAAGATTCGGACCCTGGGGTGTATATATGTCACGTGTGGTCGATTATATTTCTGAGGGTTTCATTGCTTTTTTTGGACTTAGGAATGCCAAGAAGTATGAAAAGAAGGACTCGAAAGGACATGGTAAGGAAAAGACTGAGAAGGAGAAGAAGGAGACTCAGAAGAAGGAGAAGAAGGAGAAGAAGGAGAAGGGGAAGGACGCGGGTTCTTCTTCGAGCAAACGCAAAGCTGTTCCGGCTGAAACATCCATGCCTGAACAGACTAAGCGGAGCAAAAAGACCAAGTAGATTTTTGGGTATAGACTTGAACAGTATAGTTGCTGTATAGGTACAGGGGTTGTGCGGGAGACATGCACACAAGCATGCGGTCTGGAACCTGCAATTTGTACCATGACATGCGCTATCGCTGTCAAGAGCCGTGTGTGTTGCAAATCCCTCTCAGTGTCTGATCAACCTCGCCGCTTTTTTGACAATGTATGTGTAGATGTGCTATTCTGTGCTATTATATGATATGCCTTTCTCAAAGTTTCTCCAGTCGTGTGGGGTTGATCATTTTGGCAGATTGCCACTAGACACGCCGGTATTTAGACATCTCTCACTGAGCTTTCGTGGAGCCGTGCTTCGGGGAAAAGTCACAATGCTTTGCTGGGTCTGGGTCGCATATCCATATTTTGGGTTGAGACTCTGTTCCAAACAGCTCTCTTCCCGATGAATCAGAGCACGTAGTTAAATCTCAATCCTTCGTTCACCCACATGCCAGGTGCTGGCCAGGCACTCCGGACCATAGCCAGTGACGTTGCTGAAGGTGTAGGGGCCTCAGCCGGTGGAAGTGCTGCGAATAAGGTTCCATGGAATGCTTCAATCATTTTGGGGCATCATTTATTCAGCTTCCAGTGTGCGCCACAATCATCTTGGACCACTTGTCTTTGGAAGCACCATATGTGGTTGGACCACATGTATTATTCATGTGAACAGGTCACGCTGCAAAACAATCAACATGTTCACAGAGTGAGTAAGAACCTTCCGACAAGAGCTTGACAGCTACGTTGTTGATCCTTTCACCAGGGCAAGTTGCAGGCTGGCTTGGGCTGTTGGGCCATGCGCTGCACCAAACCTAGGTAGCTAGAGCAATGTCCAAGTTCAGTGGCCTACCTATTGTGATTTCAGTGATTTGTATATTTAGATTTCTTGTCCATGGAAACGCTTTTCAACCTCTTTTATTAATGCATAGATAGCCTCAAAACACTCAAAGGACCATCATAGTATTGCCAAGAAACCATGCAATGGCCAATGGCCAATGGAATGAAATTAAATCAATGGGCTCTTCCTCCACAGATTCGTGGTAGCCATGGCCCATGATGCAGCACTTGAAGTCATTGTCACAACCATGCCATGCAGCATTTTGTGGCTTCACACCGCACATACCATTATATATGAATTGTCATACCCTCTCAACTGTGATAACTAAAGGCTGCATCGTAGATTACGCAAAGGACAGGTACAAAAAAGGGTACTGCTTTCTTGAATGCTGACCTGCAAAGGATGTGTTTTTGCGATGTATATACCCAAGTTTGAAGTTCAAATGCTTGAGACTGGATTGGTTGAGTTTGGCAATCAATGGCTGCAATCCCCCTGGCAAGCATGACAGCTCAATTCGAATGCCTTTGCTAAAGTAGCAAAAGGAGTGTTTCCTTCAAAAAGTATCCTTCAAACCTTAAGGTGTACGATGCAGTCTGTATGTGGCAAAAAGAAAACTGCATGGTTAGCAAGAATGCGGTTAGAGATGCTGTGTTCAAGGATCTGTTGTTGCTGTTTTTGTGTGAATGTGGATGTTTCAGCAATCTGCTTTTGACTTTGGATGAACGTCCTTTGTTTTTGTTGTTTCTCAAATCTCTCAAGAATTGCAACCGCTGCGCTGAGGCAACATCGTGTCGAGCAGCAATCAGGACAGCCCGAGCCGTGGTCCAGGACTTGGGAGCCAGCAGTGCTTCAAAATCACCAGGACTCAATGAGTTGGCTAAGATCAGTGAGCAAAACTCTGAGAGAGATGTTCACACCCTCACCAGCAAGAAATTCCTGCTGTCCATTCCAATAGAGTTGACAACGATTCCAAAGCCTCCTGGCATCAGATACTCTGGTGATTTTCATGCCATCCGCCTCAGAGACTGGTGCCGGTTCTTAGTTGACTACGGATGTTGGCATGTCCTTGTTGGCTTATCAAGGGCCAATCCTGTCAGAGAGCAAGCGATCCTCAGAGAATTTTGGAGGCGCTATCGCTTGTGGCGACCTGACCATCAAATTTGGCGTCTTGTTGACTGTGGAGCGGTGGACCTGTCAAGAACAGCACCCATGATACTTCATGGGGATGAAGGCAGGGGGTTCAAGCGTGGTGCTTTTCTGGTGGCGGCGTATCACTCTTACATCGGGAGAGGAACGAATCTTGCCAACACTTTGAGGAAACACAGATCGTACTTGCAAATGCGGCTTAACTACAGTGGTAGTTCTTGGTCTCACCGGTTCCTGTCCACGTGCTTGCCGAAGATGTGTGCAGACACTGTGGCCCTGGAGAGCCTGTTGAACTTCATGACGCAGGACGCACTTGACATTCTCCACAAGCCAGTGTTGGACTCTATGGGCAACAAATACAGTATGGCTGTACTTCAGGTCAGTGGTGATTGGCAATTTTTAGCAAAGGCTGGAAATTTACTCAGATCTTTTTCGACGGTGCAAAAGAAGCCGAGACCCGACATGTCGGGGGCTAAGGGCATATGCCATTGGTGCCTCGCAGGGCGTGAGCACGTGCCATTCGAAGACTTCAGGGTAACTGCAGCTTGGCGAGCAACTCAGTTTCTACCTGGTGATCAGTTCTTCACTTCGGTGCCTGCACTTCTTCGACTCCTGCATGAGGAGAACAAACCTGCAAGGCTGTTTATGTATGATTTGTGGCATTCATGGCACCTCGGATTAGGTAAAACGTTTTTGGGCTCAGCCCTGGCGCTTCTGTCACAGTGTATGGAGGGCGGAAACATCGATCTTCGTTTCCAAAACTTGACAAACATATTCTTACAGTGGGCGGAAGATGAAGGAGAGACGCCTTACATCAGCGCTCTAACGAAGGAGATGCTTCAGTGGCCTGACTTGAAATCGTTCCCTAACGGGAACTGGAACAAGGGCCACGTTACAAGCACACTCTTGAAATTTCTAGTTTGTTTTTTGGAGTCGCGTCCCAACTTGCATCAGGGAGATGCTTTGCTGTCCAAAGTTTTGGAAGGCGCACAGTGCATCAATGAAGCATTGAGGGGCCTGTATTCACATGACCTTTGGCTTTCACAACGGGAGGCTCGTCAGATTGGAAACCTTGGGCAACGCCACATGGAGATCTACCAAGAGTTGGCAACACTTTGTTTTCATCAGCAGCGAGCATTATTTATATATATGCCGAAGTCGCATGTTTGCAGTCACATATTCTTGGACTTGGCAACATGTGAGACGGAGTGGTGTATATCACCATTAGCGCATGCAGTCCAGGTGGATGAAGATATGGTTGGAAAGGTCTCGCGCCTGTCGAGACGCGTAAGCCCGATGCAGGTAATCAAACGAGTTTTACAGCGTGGGCTCCATGCCACCTTTGCTCACTTCGTCGATTGCGGATACCTTCAGTCACACTGAAAGGAAAAGTCCGAGATGGTCTGTATCCAGGGGTTGTGGCTGATGATGGTTTCTGTGTCTGTTTGTGTGTGTGTGGTGAGTTTTTGTAATGATTATGTTGTGGAAGACTGACATCCCAAGACACCATGGAGACATCATATGGGTATGTGAAGATGTGCCAAAACCACCAAATTTAGAATACCCGGTTTTTCTTGAAAGAACTCGGTTTTTGTTACTGGGCCTGCTTTTTAGTGGGTCTTCGAAGCCATAGGTAGATGAAAGTTGGCCTTCCACTTGTCATTTCAAGAGCCGACCAGGCTCAGGAATTCACCGAAGATCGAAGCATCCGGACACGACACATGGGACTTAATTTACGCCCATAGCCTAGGCCTATAGCATTGACCTCTCAAACCACCCCAACTGATCGCTAAACATGCCTGTCCCATGGAGCATTTGGGAATTGGATTCATGAAGGCATCGGGCCACTCAATCACTTCAGAATCTGATGGATTAAATGATTAAACTCAATCAGCACAGAATCCATCAAGTCTATCACGCAATCCATCAGGTCTGTCGTGCAACCGCAATCACGGACCGTGCCGCATGTCGGTTTCCTCCCAGGACCTGTCGGCGCCCTTGCCTTCCGGAAGAGAAAGAGGCACCGGTTTTTTGCTTCTTTGAAACACTCATGACCTCCCTGACCTGGTCGTTATAGCGATCACACATCATCACACCAGTACCAATAAGTACTAATAAGATTAAGAAGATACAATCGATCAACTGTGGACTTAGGGGTTTGTTGAGTCGCTTCAGTGTGTAAGATGGGGTAACTACGAAGGTCCACGGCTCATAGGTGGCCGGTAGGGTTTTGTAAAGACCTTTCGGTTGTGCATACGTTGCAGGTTGTAAACCTTTAGCCTGATTGGGTTTGATATTTTCGTCCAACATCATTGATGCCTCCACCTGACTGTGCGGGGTTTTGAAGATGAGTTTCGCTACTCGTACAACGAGAAGCAGACTTTGATTTTGAACTACACTTTTAGCAACCTCAAAACTACTTTGTTGTTCAAGAACTTCACCTGTTCCATCACAGGCATTCCGTGCAAGCTCTGTCAGCCATGTTTCTTTCATTTCAAGAGCGATGCTACGCTCGCCAAGAACAACAGAGTCGCACATGTGATGTTGCCTGTGAAAGTGACCGATAGTCAGTGTGAGTGGTCATGGGAAATAAACATATGATTAAACATGCATGTTTTGCTTGAGGGAAAAAGACAACACATACAGTACAGCACACGAAACCCTGATGCCATTCCACAACAAATCTTGGCGGTTGCTCAGACATAAATGTACCCCACACCCCACACGTGCAAGCATCATGCTGAACGCAATCCCTTGAAGGACAACCTCAAAAGTACTGCAAAACACCTGCGACCACGGGCCCTCTCCACACCGGTGGTCCAACGACTTATTCTTCAAGCTGCTGTGGCCGCTGTGGGTGTCAATTTGATGAAACCCAATGGAGACATGCAGGTTCCTGCCGGAGATTTGAGCAACAACTCAGCGAAAACACCTTTTTGGGGGATTGAGATCTCCCTCATCTTGCGTGTGGAGCCTGTGCCAGGGAGAAGTCCCGGCAGATGTGCGTTTGACAGACGCCAGACTGACAGACGCCAGACCCAAGGACGCTCTGCTGCAGGTTGGAACTGAGAGGGCTGAAGCCAGGTCTCTATGAGGACTTTAGAGGTCGAGGATCTCCTTAGATTTGGATCTGGTCTCACAGACACAATCTTCAATGAAGTGAAGGATGCTAGAATTAGAATGTGAGTCAATAGCTTTTGTCCTGCTGGTTATTGGAGAACTTCTCTTTTGTTGAACAATGTATGGCCTATACCATTGGGCTGGCCATGTCTGAAGAAAGGTCCTGCTTCGATGTGCATATAATTATAATACGCCTTGGGTGATTCCCCCACAATTACCCTGGATTCCAGTCACCAGTCAGGCGCTGAAGGAACTTCAAAAGCGGAGACTGAAGGCACTTCGTGTCATCGAATGGTTTGCTGTTCGGACGAGGGTGAGCTACCGACCGACCATCGAGATCGCGACCGACCAAGGCGGAGAGCTTTACCGGCAGTTTCGGTTTTGGCGGCAGCAGCAGCACAGGCAGGGCAGGGCGTTTACAAGGGGCGTGGCTTTTGCCTCAAAAACTCGGAAGGCCTTGTTTTGGTGGATAGAACGGTCCAATTGCCCGGGCGTTTCCTCGGATTCCTGAAGGGTTGAGGTATGTTGAGGTCCAATCGCCCACGAACACTTAGAGCCAAGGGATATGACTGGCTTGCAATCAGGGATATGACTTGAGGTAGGGGTTGTTGGCTGAAACTTGGGACCAAAATCCGAGAAATCCGAGGGATACAGTGAAGCAGCTGGGCAACCCACCAAGCTGATGTGAACAGATAGTTTTGGGAGTGTTTTCGTGTGCGAAACCTGTTCCCTTGGAATCCGCCCATGTGGGCGGATGTTTCTGTAAAAGAAACTCCAGGTGTCTTTTCCCAGGAAAAAAAGACACCACCTGTTTGGTTTTCGTCATTGTCATCCGACCTCGGGGGCCATCCACGGCCCAGCTGATTGCCATCCACGGCCTATGTACTGGCATGGATGATGCGGTCCGGGGTGAGTTTGAGGTGTTTTGAGGGTGAAGTGAAGTGCTTACATGCTACTAAAATATGCTACGGGATCTTTCTCAACTCTGTCAAGCACAGCTTTGGTGTTTTTTCAGGGCGGAATCCAATCGCATGTGACTCTACCGGAAAGGCCAATGATCAATGGTCACCTGTGGAATTATGTCTATCACTGGTGGCTTCGCACATAGACCTCCCCACGAAAGCAATCGATCCTATGGAGGTCAAATGCTGATGAGGCTTGACCCCCTAGGCCTCTCTAGAGGCTTTACAATCCAAATGAGGGGTCTTAATGAATTAGGAGTCCACAATTAGCCGATGCACGCACTGTCCCTTGATGCCTAAACTGATCGCTTCCGGCTTCGGGTCGCTCTGTTTGCGCAGGGAGTTTTAGCTTGGGTTTGCGTGGCCGAAGCTCCTTGGCGGGGAGTGTGTTCTTTGGGAATCTCCGATGATTCTGCTTCAGAATTCTGTCCAACTTCACTGGAACATCCTCGAGTTGTGAAGAAATTCAGTTGAACACAGGCGCACCAACGACCATCAAAACTCTCTCAAGCACTCTGGTGTTTTTTTTGTTTCTTCAGAAGAGGTGTAAATAACACCAGGCTAAGAAAGGGTCATGGTTGGTCCCAGCGAAGAACGACACTTGTTCAGAACGATATGTCGTTCCATGAGAAAGTGAACTGAGGCACTTGGCTTGCCTGTTCTCATAGTATTGTATCATTGTACTAATAGTATTGAATTGGTACTAATTTTGCCTGTTCTCATAGTATTGTTCTCATAGACTACACCTCTCATAGTATTGTGTAGTGTAGTGTTGTGTAGGTGCCTATAGGGGTTGGACTTTTGATGATCTTGGTGGAACAAAAAGTGGAAGGCGAAAGTGCTCCCCAACGAATCGAGCTGAGATCACACTATGGTGTCCGCTCCCTTTCAGAACCTCTTGAAGCAGTTGGCGCAGCAACACGCGCCTGGGCACGACAACCTCTTGGAGATCTCTCATAGATGTGTACTGAACCCCATCAACCCCATCAATGAACGGTGCGACTTGTTGGCAAGTTGGACCTCGCGAGTTGGTGCAACCTGTGGGGTGCTGGGGGTTGTACCAAAAAAAGAATCCGGAGTGTAGACATCCTAAGCACCAAACACCACCAAAACAAGATTTGACACAACCAGGCTTCATAATGAACCTCTATTGTCCACCGGAGTCCATCGAGGATTCAGAGAACTGAGAAGCACAGTGCAAGCCATTCTCAGACGAAAATTCACCATGAATGGTCAGCTCTTCACGACTTTTGGAGAGTTGTGCCATCTTAAGATGACACACTGCCAGCATGTCTCAAGATGCTGGGAGAGTCCAACCCGTTTGGAAAATATTTTGAGTCCAAGCACATACCAAAGTTCTCTATTAGGGGTTGGATGAGGAAGTCTATGGAAGTCCCATCCTCAACAAAAACAGACTGAAAGCCCCGGCCCGACCCGCAAAAAGGACGTCGGAATAACAGCACCAGGTCAGCTCAGTTTCGACTCGGTTTCTACCCGCCAAGCTTTCGGGTCATAACTGGATTCCTGGTGTTGCAGGTGGTGGTCCAACCATCCATTGGACTGAACAATAGGCGGCTATATAAGTACCTAAACGTTGCCATCCTTTTTAGCCCATGTTTCTCATCACTCCATGTATGGCATATCCTACAGGGTTCAATGCAGAAAATGCTTTGGTGGGCGATGTTGAGATCCCGGCGGACACGCCCAACGGTGGTTTGAGTGAGTGGAAGAGATGGAGTTTGGGACCGTTGGGACCGTTTTCCGTTCCTCCTTTTGTCCCGACGCCCCGGGCAGACACGGTGCCGCATCGGCGGAAATGCATGCGAAATCGCTGTTCGAGGTGAAGGAGTTGGCCGAGCTGGCGTCCGCTTCCAGTGCCAGGCGCGGCGTGGTGCTCCACTCGCGTCGACCTACACAGGAAAAGTGGAGACATGTGGAGACCCTCCGCAGACAATGATGGAAGCTGAGCCGGCAGTCGCTTGTAGATCTTGTAGAGGAAAATTGTTCTCTCAGATGATGTTCCACGACAATGGCCGCCGGAAACTATGTGGGAAAGCTGAGCTGGCCCCATGGAAGGACCATGAAATCCGAAGGGGGGGGATTGGCTTTCCCACTAAACATGAACAAGTGTATAGTTCGGTTATTGTTGCAGGGAAACAGGGGGTGAGAAGAGATGGATCGAAGACATAGAGGTGAGGGGAACACATGCCTTCGTAGGATGTTGTGCTCTTGGATTCTTCTCTTGGGGGTGTCATCAGCTCAACGTGGCGTTTGAAGACAAACGCTGGTAAACGGATGCATCGACATGATGTTGTTCTCACAGACTTGACTTACTGGAAATGCCTGAAGCTCGGGAGTCGTTCTTTTTCTATATATAATTATGCAACAATGTATAGTCTATGGACTTTCAGTTTACTTCTCGAAACAGATGTCGCATCCCATGTCACAAGTCCTGCTCTTCTTCCTCAGCACAAAGACAACAAAATCGACTATTTGTCGGGACCTTCACTATCTGACTCGTCGGACGACCGTCACTAGGTCTCAGGACGACCGTCACGTGGCTACGGAGCACCCAGACGGACGGCACAGGAGGACCGAGGCGGCTGATGTGGCGATCAGCAAAAGTCACTTGGTTTTTCTTGGTGCTTCGCCCAACGGGTTTCTCTCGAGTGCGAAACGTGCTGCGGTTAGGTCCGTGATGGTGATACATAGATGCAGACTGTGTTGGAGCTCCAGTTGGACTCTGGTGCTGAGACTCCTTTACGTTTTAATGGTATGCCGTACCATCTCGTCCATTTGTTGGGTTTTTGAGAGGCTGCAGTTGGGGAAACTCCCTGTAGACAGTTTGAGTGCGGAAGCTGCAGCTGGATTTGATGGAACCCCTTTTTTTTGACTGCACCAACTTGTCTTCCAATCATAGTGTCAACCATTTCGAGCTAGCCGCTAAGAGTAGGGGGTCACCGGCATGAAAATGGCTTGTGGGGTACTATGAGGTACTCACACGACTTCCTTCGCACTGAACATGTTTGTTGGGCAAAGGTCAGTTTAGTCTCGAGCCGCAGCTGTCCCTCTCGCGTCTCGAAGCTACCGAAACGGTCAAACACTGGTCTCTTGTGACCGGCAGCCACTCGGGAAAACCATCGATATCTTCTTTCACGTCTGCCTGGCCGGAAGTGGACTTAGTCCACCCGTGGAAAATCCCCAAGACATCAGTCTGAAGTAGAACATGGAGACCCCTTTGTAGGGGTGTTCGTACTCTTGTTCCATTACTTCAGTTTGTTCCATTACTTGAGGGTCTTACAGGGGGAGTTCCTGCAACTCATCTCGCCCACACCCCACATCGATGAGCTGCGCCCAGCGCCAGAAAGTAGTTTGAAGATGATTGAAGAGCGGCTCTCCAAATAGCGTCACCAACTCTGCCATTTGTCTCCCAAAAAAACCTTTGGAACCACTAAACTGACCTTTTGGACTGTACTACAAGGTCCTCTCCTTTTAAGGAAGACCTTTTTTCTTGGGGATCGACCCTCCCGCCCAGTCCCTCCGGTCCCTCTCTCCGCTTCAGAGGTAACGAGTCGGAGCTTGAGATGGACGGCTCTGGAAAGGTGGAGCGCTACACGACCCCCAACATGTCGCTCGAACGGAGTCTACGCGGTTTCGACCCGTTCAGCGAGAGGAGCGGTGGAGAGTCGACCCGTTTTCCTCCCCGGACACACGGCGCGTTCCGGACACGTTCCGCGACCTCCGTTCCGCCGGCGACATGGAGTTTCCGTTCCGCGGTGGTGTCGCGCGCGTTGTGTGTGTGTGTGTCCACCCCTGGAAAAAGGGCTCCTTTCACCATTTCCATC